CAGCAGAGCCCAGCAGGTCGAGGCTGCGGTGGCCGGGAGCGGCCACTGCATTCCTGTCTGGGCGACGGAGTGAGACTCCAACTCAAAAAAAAAAAGAAAAAAGCCCTCAAAGGGAAACATTGCTGATGTGGAAGAGGTGAAACAAAAAATGGCAGAAGCACTACAAGGCATCAAAACTGAGGAGTTCAGAAACTTTTGAGCAGTGGAAAAAACATCTGGATAGGTGTGTTGCATCAAACAGAGTGGTGACGGAAGTTTAAATATGTAAGAATAAATACACAGTTATTTATAAATAAGTTTTGGGGTTTTTTGGGTCTCCCCTCATACAATTAAAAACTTGACATGAGGAAAAGTTAAGGACATTGCCTAAACTCATAGCTAGTAATTGGTGGAGCTGGGATCTGAACCTGGCAAGGCTGACTCCAAAGCCTGTGTTTTTCATCCACAATGCTAAGTGGTTATTGATTTTAGCTTAGAGAAAGATTTGACATACAGTTTTATCATAGCTCAAACATGACTGGTCTTTTTGTTGGGAGACTCTTTAATAGAGAAATGGTAAGTGTTTTCAAATGATTAATGTTTATATTAATATTTAGGACACCTGTGGTTTTTTCCACTGAAGTTATATCCAGAGTACTTTAAGATTAATGAGATATTTAACTGAATATACTAACTCTTCATGCCTTTTAGAAAAGTTAGCCATTCATTTAAAAAATATTATTGCCGCACCTGTTATGTCAGGAGCTGATATAGGCATTAGGAATATAGCAGTAAGCAGCAGGGTGTGGCTATAATCCCAGCACTGGGAGTCTAAGGTGAGAGGACTGCCTGAGCTCAGGGGTTGTAGACCAACCCGAGCGACATGGTGAGACCTCATCTCTACAGTAAATCAAAAATCAGTCAGGCTTGGTGGTGCACGTCTGTGGTCCTATCTACTTGGAAGACTGAGGCAGAAGGATAGCCTGAGCCCAGCGGGTCCAGGCTGCAGTGGCCATGAGGATGCCATTGCACTCCAGACTGGGTGACAGAGTGAGATTCCCACTCAAAAAAAAAAAAAAAAAAGGCAGAGCTCAGTGGCTCATACCTATAATCCCAGCACTTTGGGAGGCAGAGACGAGAGAACTGCCTTAAGTCCACGGGTTTGAGACCAGCCTGAGCAACATGGCAAGACCTTATCTCTACAGTATATCAAAAAATTAACCGGGCAGGGTGGTGTGTGCCTGTGGTTCCAGCTACTTGGAAGGCTGAGGCGGAAGAATTGCCTGAGCCCAGCAGGTCATAGCTGCGGTGGCTGTGAGCATGCCACTGAACTCCAGCTTGGGTGACAGAATGAGACTTTGATTAAAAAAAAAAAAAAGGAATACAGCAGTAAGCACAACAGCAAAAAATCTCTTGACTTCACAGAGCTTATAATGTAGTGGGAGAAAGGGCAGAAAATTAACAAGTAAAAATCAAGTATGTCAGGTAGTGAGAAGTGCAGTGGGACAATAAACAGAAGGATAGAAAGTACTAGGGCTAGGAGCTAAGTAGATGCTATTTTGTTTTTGTTTTTTTGGGTTTTTTTGAGTTGGAGTCTCACTCTGTCGCCCAGACTGGAGTGCAATGACATGCTTCCGGCCACCGCAGCCTCAAGCTGCTGGGCTCCGGCGATCCTTCCACCTCAGCCTTCCAAGTAGCTGGAACTACAGGCACGCACTACCACGCTCGGCTGATTTTTTTATTTATTGTAGAGACGAGGCCTCGCCAAGTTGCCCAGGCGGATCTTGAATCTGCAGGTTCAGGCAAACCACTCACCTCGGCCTCCCAAAACATGGGATTACAGGCTGAGCCACTGAGCCCAGCTAGATGCTATTTTAAATAGGGTAGTGAGAGAGGAACTCAGAAAAAGGCATTGGAACAGAGACTTAGAGTGAGCTACATGGATAGGAGGGAATAATGTTTGAGCTAGAGGAAGGATATTAAGAAACAAAGACAGGCCAGGCTCGGTGGCTCAACCTGTAATCCCGCACTTTGGGAGGCCGAGGTGAGTGGATTGCCTGAGCCCGCGGGTTCGAGACCTGCCTGGGCAACTTGGCAAGACCTCATCTCTGCAATAAATCAAAAATTAGCCGGGTGTGGTAGCTCGCGCCTGTAGTTCCAGCTACTTGGAAGGCTGAGGCGGAAGGATTGCCGGAGCCCAGCAGGTCGAGGCTGCGGTGGCCAGGAGTGTGCCACTGCACTCCAGTCTGGGTGACAGAGCGAGACTCCAACTCAAAAAAAAAGATAGCCAGGCTCGATGGCTTCAGCCTGTAATCCCGCGCCTTTGGGAGGCTGAGGTGAGTGGATTGCCTGAGCCCGTGGGTTCGAGACCCGCCTGGGCAGCGAGACCTCATCTCTACAATAAATCAAAAAATCAGCCGGGCATGGTAGCGCATGCCTGTAATTCCGGCTACTTGGAAGGCTGAGGTGGAAGGATCGCCGGAGCCCAGCAGGTCGAGGCTGCGGTGGCCGGGAGCGGTCACTGCAGTCCAGTCTGGGCGACAGAGTGAGACTCCAACTCAAAAAAAAAGAAAGATTGGCCTTGTAAGCCATTGTAAGGATTCATATTTTTCTTGGTAAGATGGGAAGCCATTGGAGAGTTTTGAGCAGAGGACTAATGTGGTCAGGATTGTAAGTATATTTTTTGTGTCAAAGAATCTAGGGAGCAGTTCGTTGTTGTGGCTTTGACACACCCGTGTAACATGGCTTTGATTTGTTGGGGGAAGCAATCAGTGCCCTACCTGAGAAGAAAGAATTCAGGACTGAACAAAGACTAGTGACCGAGCACATATCAGGCCTTTACTTCAGTATGGTAAAGAGACCTCATATGGCTATTTCTGCTTCAGTCCTACCCATGGAATAGTCATCAGCAGCATTGCCACTTTCACATAGAGAGATAAGGAATGTGTTCATTCTGAGATAATCTTAACTTTTAATTTTTATTTATTTTGAGTCGGAGTCTCACTCTGTCACCCAGGCTGGAGTGCGGTGGCATGCTCATGGCCACCATAGCCTCAACCTGCTGGCAATCCTTCCACTTCGGCCTTCCAAGTAGCTGGAACTATAGTTGTGCACTACCATGCCTGGTTTATTTTTTATTTATTTATTGTAGAGATGAGGTCTCCCTAAGTTGCCCAGGCTGGTCTTGAACCCCTGAGCTTAGGCAATCCTCTCGCCTTGGCCTCCCAAAGTGCTACAGGCTTGAGCCACTGTGCCCACCCAACTTTTAGTATTTTAAAAGATTTTAGTATACACAAATATGTCTCTTAAAAGCCTTTGCAAATATCTGTATTGCTTTACATATAAAGAACATTTTTATTTATTTATTTATTTATTATTTTTATTTATTTTTAATTTTTTTGAGTCGGAGTCTCACTCTGTCGCCCAGACTGGAGTGCAGTGGCCACTCCCGGCCACCGCAGCCTCGACCTGCTGGGCTCCGGCGATCCTTCCACCTCAGCCTTCCAAGTAGCTGGAACTACAGGTGAGCGTTACCACGCCCAGCTAATTGTTTTGATTTATTGTAGAGACGAGGTCTCGCCAAGTTGCCCAGGCTGGTCTCGAACCTGAGGGCTCAGGCAATCCACTCACCTCAACCTCCCAAAGCGTGGGATTACAGGCTGAGCCACCAAGCCCGGCTATAAAGAACATTTTAGCTGGGCGTGGTGACTCAAACTTGTAATCCCAGCACTTTGGGAGGCTGAGGTGAGAGGATTGCCTGAGCTCAGGGGTTCAAGATCAGCCTGGGCAACTTGGTGAGACTTCGTCTCTACAATAAATAAAAAAATTAGCCGGGTGTGGTAGCGTGTACCTGTAGTTCCAACTACTTGGAAGGCTGAGACAGAAGGATTGCCTGAGCCCAGCAGGTCGAGGCTGTGGTGGCTGTGAACACACCACTGTACTCCAGACTGGGCGACAGAATGAGACTCCAATTCCAAAAACAAAAAAGAACATTTTAGTTATTAGTTTTCAAAGAGGTATTATTATGTGTACCAGAAGTTTATTTGTTAAAAATCTTAGGAGGTGATTTCAGTTTAATTCTTTAAAGCTTGACTTCATCTCAGAGACCCTCTAGGATGCAAAGCCATCTATAGCTTAAAATGGAACCAAAATCTAGCTCAGTCTCACCAGTACTCACTTTCAGGCGCATCTCTCCTCCCAGCTGAAATGCTCTTTTCCTTTGACAGATGACACGTATGAAAGCCATCAAGAAGCAGCGGGATAAGCTCATAAAGGAAGGGAAGTACACCCCTCCACCTCACCACCTGGGCAAGGGGGAGCCTAGGCCCTGAGCAGAGCAGCTGCTGACGGCTGGAGGCTGAGTTCATATTATCTGTTATCTATCAGAAAGATTGTTTACCAGAAGTCTCTTTGTCGGACTGTGTAAAAATAAAGGATTGCTCCAATCTATTTATCTTGTTTTCTTTTCTATCACGCCTTTCTACAATGAGATTGCAACCTGTTTTTTAAATTTGAAAAAAAAATGCTTCTACCTGTTGCTAAAAAATTAGCATTTGGGGAATAATAACTAACACTTTATGGATGCTTACAATGTGTGAGATATTTTAAATATGTTAACTTGGCCTGGCTCAGTAGCTCAGCCTGTAATCCCAGCACTTTGGGAGGCCGAGGCGAGTGGATTGCCTGACCCCGTGGGTTTGAGACCCCCCCCACTCAAAAAAATAAACAAAAACCCAGAATGAAAGCACTAAAAAACATGGCAACGTAAATAAGTTAACATATTTATTTATTTTTGAGTTGGAGTCTCACTCTGTCTCCCAGACAGGAGTGCAGTGGCATGTTCCCGGCCTCTGCAGCCTCTACCTGTTGGACTCCAGAGATTCTTCCACCTCAACATTCCAAGTAGCTGGAACTATAGGTGCACGCTTCCATGCCCAGCTAATTTTTGATTTATTGTAAAGATGAGGCTTGCCAAGTTGCCCAGGCTGGTCTTGAACCCATGAGCTCAGGCAAACCTCTCGCCTCAGCCTCCCAAAGTTCTGGGACTACAGGCTGAGCCAACAAGCTCAGCCTTTTCTGGGTTTTTTTTTTAAACACAGACTTGGGTTGGGAGATGGAGACAGTGGTTGTGTATTTAAAGTTGTGTATAATAAGGTCTGTGAAGTTTAAGGCTATGAAAATGCCAAGTTCAGATTATTTGTTTATTTTTTTAGTTGGAGTCTCATTCCGTTGCCCAGGCTGGAGCCCAGTGGCACACACACTCACGGTTACCCCAGCGGTGTCTGCTGGGCTCCGGCAATCCTTCTGCCTCAGCCTTCCAAACAGCCACAACTGGAGGTGCGCACTACCACACCCGGCTAATTTTTGATTTATTGTAGAGACAAGGTCTTGCCAAGTTGCCCTGGCTGGTCTCAAACCTGCAGGCCCAGGCAATCCACTCACCTCAGCCTCCCAGCTGGGATTACAGGCTGAGCTACTGAGCCCAGCCAATAATTAATTTTAAAGAAGCAATCCTATTGTTTTAATTTGCTATCTTTTAACAGTGGTATGTTAACACTTCTAACTGACATGTTTACAAGTGTGTTTTTAAAAGAAAAGCTCAGATGTAGAAAGTAGGAAACTTAGAAAACTAATATAAATATTGAGAATATAAATGAAACCTCAAGCCGGGCTCGGTGGCTCAGCCTATAATCCCGCGCCTTTGGGAGGCTGAGGGGAGTGGATTGCCTGAGCCCGCGGGTTCGAGACTCGCCTGGGCAACTTGGCAAGACCTCATCTCTACAATAAATCAAAAAAAAAAATTAGCTGGGCATGGTAGTGCACGCATGTAATTCCAGCTACTTGGAAGGCTGAGGAAGAAGGATCGCCGGAGCCCAGCAGGTCGAGGCTGTGGTGGCCGGGAGCGGCCACTGCACTCCAGTCTGGGCGATAGAGTGAGACTCCAACTCAAAAAAAAAATGTTCATATTGTTGCAGCCATCACCACCATCCATCTTCAGAACTCTCATTTGCAAAACTGAAACTACCCATTAAACAATAACTACCCATTCCCCCTTTGTAACCATTCTACTTTCTGTCTGTATGATTTTGACTCCTCTACCTCATAAAAGAGCAATCACATAGCATTTGTTTTTTTGTGACTGGCTTATTTTACTTAGCATAATATCCTCAAGGTTAATCCATGTTGTAGCATATGTCAGAATTTCCTTCCTTTTTTTATTTTTGTATTTGAGTTGTGGTCTCACTCTTTCGCCCAGGCTGGAGTGCAGTAGCACACTCACAGCCACCACAACCTCAACCTGCTGGACTCAGCCCATCCTTCCACCACAGCCTTCTAAGTAGCTGCAACTACAGGCATGCACCACCACGCCCAGCTAATATTTTAATTTATTGTAGAGACGAGGTCTCACTAAGTTGCCCAGGCTGGTCTTGAACCCTTGGCCTCAGGCAATCCTCTTGCCTTGGCCTTCCAAAGTGCTGGGTTTAAAGGCTTGAGCCATTGTGCCCGGCCATCATTTTTGTTTCGTTTTGGGGTTTTTTTGAGTTAGAGTCTCACTCTGTCGCCCAGGATGGAGGGCAGTGGCATGTTCCCGGCCACTGCAGCCTCGACCTGCTGGACTCCAGCGATCCTTCTGCCTCAACCTTCCAAGTAGCTGGAACTACAGGTGCGCACTACCATGCCCAGTTAATTTTTTTGATTTATTGTAGAGACAAGGTCTCACCAAGTTGCCCGGGTGGATCTCAAACTCGCGGACTCAGGCAATCCACTTGTTTCGGCTTCCCAAGATGCTGGGATTACAGGCTGAGCCACCGAGCCTGGCCTGGCCACCCTTTTTTAAAATCTAAATCTAAGAACAATTCACAGCTGGTTTACTGGCTCACAGCTGTAATCCCAGCACTCTGGGAGGCTGAAGCGAGAAGTTTTTGACCAACCTAGGCAACATAGCAAGAGCTTGACTCTATAAAAAAAGAGTTAGAGTCTCACTCTTGCCCAGGCTGGAGTGCAGTGGCATGATCATGGCTCACTGCAGCCTCGACCTCCTGGGCTCAGGCAATCCTTCCACCTCAACCTCTCTAGTGGCTGGCACTATAGGCAAATATCACCACACCTGGCTAATTTTTTATTCCTTGTTTTTTTTAGAGAGGAGGTCTTGCTATGTTGCCTAGGCTGGTCTTGAACTCCTGGGCTCAAGCATTCCTCTCACCTCAGTCGTCCAAAGTGTTAGGATTACAGGCATGAGCCACTGTGCCTGTTCGTCACTGGATTTTGAGAGGGATTGCATTAAATCTATAGGTTGCTTTGGGTAGTATTGACATCTCAGTGATATTAAACATTCCAATCCATGAACATGGAATGTCTTCCCACTTATATCTCCTTTAATTTCTTGCAAAAATATTTTGCACTTTTCATTATGCAAGTCTTTAACCTCCTTGCTTAAGTTAATTCTTAAGTATTTTATTTTTGATGCTATTGTAAATTGTTTTCTTAATTTCCTTTTTAGATTATTGTTGTTAGTCCTTCAGCATTTTGAGTCATAAATGTCAGTTGTAGGGCTTGAATGCAAGGTTTTCCTCAAAAGGGAAAACATATTGTGTCCTGGTCTCAAAATTGGAAGTATGAGATTTGGCATTTGATCAGGGCCCTGCTTGTTCCTTGTGTTACAGGCCAAGCAGCATTTTCTTAAATTGATTTACTGTACTAATCACTAATCAATCACACTGGAAAAGCAAGCTGGACACCTGCCGGCAAGATCCCACACTGTACTGTGACCCTGTGTTCAGTTGTTTTATTTGCTTTGTACATACAAGCTTTTCTGAATTTCTTAAGTTAAAAATGACATGCAGTGCATACATATTTTTGTAAAATCAGAGAGCCCAATTGGAAATGCCAGCAAGCAGAATATAAATCAAGGCTTAAAGTAGGTGTATGCCCTTTCATACAACGATATCCTTTATTCCTGGCTCTGGGTTGTAGAGTGAAGGGAAACAAATCCAAGTAGTTTGTGTTTATCTAAAGGCAAAATAGGAGTGAGAGAGAACACTTAATTGTGTTTGTTGGAATGTGCTGCCTTGATGCCTTTACAGGATATCAAAAACTTTCTTTTATATCAGCTCCAGAACAAGCAGCCCTGCCTCTCGTCCTTGTATATTTGGTAAACTTTGTGCTTTAATTGCTTTTTTGAGAAAGTTTTGGGCCAGTTCCAGCACCTCTGTTATTTAAGTTGTTTGAACAAGAACAAGCAGAGTTAGGACTGTATCTCTCTGACCAGTTAAGTTGGTGCAGAATAGAACTGAGGTTGAGGGACAGGAGGGACAGAAAGCTGTGAGGAAGATTACACTTGATTAGAGACTGACGGGGAAGTTACTTGCTTGCTCACAGCAGCACAACCTGTTGCCCTTGTCCATTCCTTCCCTGCACTCTGGAAAATGGGAACTTACAACCTCTATGGCTCATGCTTTTTTTTTAGAAGTTTTTTTTTTTTCCCCTAATTTTTTAGTTACAGGTTATGTGAGCCAATAAATTCCTTTTATTTGCCTAAGCTGGTTTTGAACAGATATTCAATCACTTGGAATGAAGAGAGGCCCAACTGAATAGCAAATGCATCACTATGTTGCCCAGGCTGGCCTCTGAATTCCTAGGCTCAGATCCTCCTGCCTCAGCCTTCCAAGTAGCTGGGATCACAAGTACACACCACTGTGCCCAGCTGCATATGCTTTTTAACCCTGAGTGCTTTGGTGAATATGTTTAAATTTTTCATTTATTTTTTCAAATAGTTTATGTGGTTTAAAACTCAAAAAAGATGGAAAGGGTATTGATGACAATCTCCCCTATCTAGTTTCCCTACCCAGAGGCAACCAATATTATGAGTGTCATAGAGATATATTCTTCTATACCTTCACAGACACACATTTCTTTGCCCTTTTTAAAACAAGTGGTAGCAAATTGTTCGTATATTTCCTACATTTTTATTTCTTTCCTAACCACATTTTCTTTTTTTTAGTATAGTCTCTGTTGCCCAGGCTGGAGTGCAGTGGCATGCTTATGGCCACTGCAGCCTCTACCTGCTGGGCTCAGGTGATCCTTCCACTTCAGCCTTCCAAACAGCTGGAGCCACAGACGTGTGCCACCACACCTGGCTAATTTTTATATTATTATTATTATTGTTGAGATGAGATCTTGAGGTGGCAAGTGGCCCAGGCTGGTCTTGATCCCCTAGACTCCGGCAATCCTCTCGCCTCTGCCTCCCAAAGTGCTGGGATTACAGGTGTGAGCCACCATGCCTGGCTTATGTTTTCAGTAATACTCCAGATCAGGCACATGACCCAATTGTAGCCAAGAAATGAGACTTGCTTGAAATTCTGGAAAAGAGGCAGGAAACATGTTTCCTCTGGATTTAATGCTGAGAAGGTCTAGGTTCTATAGATGTTTTAGACGTTTCTTTATTCAAC